CATTTTATTTATTTATTTATTTATTTTGACTGGCTTTACCTCATAGTTGATGAGTCTAGAGGGAATATTGCCTTTTGTGAATGATGCTGCTGATTCAGCGTCCCCGATGCCGTGTGGCACGGCAACTATAGCAGTGAAATTAGCAAGTGTGTGTGTTGCTTCAGGCATGCCATTGCTTACTGGTAAAGTGCAGATCTCCATCTGTAGCCAGTCCTGAAAGATCCCTGTCCTAGCACATCTTCTGAGGGAGGGGCATGGCGGGAAGGCTGTGCTGGGAGGAAGTGACTGCAGAGGCAGAGCAGTTTTCACATTAACATGGCTGGTACAAAAACATTACCGTGCAGGGGTAAATTTCTTTCCCCCATCTTTATTTTCACTGGAGGGAGGTGAATCGGGTTTATGCACGTGTTTATTGGCAAACAAAGACTATTGAAAGAATGTTGCTCATAGCATAAATTTCAGCTTCCCTCATCTATAAATTGAGTGAATTCACAAGAGGAGTGAAAGGTTTGGGAAGAAAGAATTTCCTGAGGCTCAAATGGGAGCTTCCGCTGTGTGAGGACATCTCCAACAGTCATCCAAACCTTAGTTTATGCTCTCCCAGGTGCACTGTACTGCCTGACGCTAATTGTTCAGTAGCACAACTGGTTGCTTATGTAGAACCTGTCAGAGGAAAGTTAGGTTGAATGACAGGAAATACGGATGGCTTTGAATCCAGAGGAACCCAAATGCAGGTGAAACTCATTGTATTTGGGATCAGCTTTCTTATTAGTGACCCATCCTGCTGTGCCCCCCTGCCTCCCCCTCCTTTTTTTCCCCCTTCACAGCTAGTGCTTTGTAGAAGCCTGGGTCCATAATGCAATGTAGGTTCTGAAATGGTGGATTTGAGTACCAAAAATGGTGATCTTAGCTTTGTGTCTGGAAGCCACCAGGCCAGGCATCAAAACTCCAAACTCCTTCTACAGTGAAGGCCACAGATATGGCATACAACCTAGGTTAGAATGTGGTATCATGGTAAGGTGGCTTTGGCCGGTTCAGACTGAGCCTATCAGTATTTGAGGAATTGCTTTTCACAGGAAATAGCTACAGACAGAACAGGAGTCTTCTGTTCTCATTCAGTGTTTGAGTAGAAATAGCTTGTTTGCTCTTCCCCATGTAAACATAAAGCACTTACTCGTTTGTTTCTCTTTTTAGCTGTGTATTGCATTTCTAATGGAGTGCATTATTCCATTCCCTTTGCATCCCTCTCCCTTTCACAAAGCCTAGATTAGCAGCAAGTCACAGTTAGAGAAAATATATTGTTTGGGGTGGAATGAATATTTACTAAGTTTTAACTCTTGGTGGATCATGATTTTTTTGCAGATCAGAAATGTACAGGGCAATTCTGTTGTATTTTTTCACAGTGGTTTGGAAGATGATTTCATACAAGGCATTCTCACTTCATCTGTTTTCCTGAGTTTAGCTTTGGCCTCTCGCCAAAAATGAAAAACAGTAACAAAAAGTAAAAACAAATGCAGCTGCAGACCAGCTGGTGTGTTCACTTGCAGCACAGCTATTAAAAGGATTGTATTTAACGTTAGCACTTCTGAGAGCTGGCTTGATCTAGCACTTATAAAACTTGCATAACCTTTCTCAGTTGTGAATTGTTTTCCCCGTTAAGCAAATTTCGTCTGTGTTAAGTCTTTTATCAGGTTTGTGAGAGTTTATCAGGAATGATAAATTCACATGTTCTTCAAGGAAACAATAGGCTTAAGGAGAGAATATCAAATAGACCTAGAGCTAAGGAAGTCAACAGAGTAACGAGTAAGAACCAGTTTGTTTATTTTGGGGATGAAACGTTTAGGAGACTTACTTCTCAGTTTTAGATTTCTTTCTATGGCTATTACTGCAGCGACTATGTGATAAGCTTAGACCCAAAGAAACTCAGTGGCAGGGGGCTCCTTAATGTAACTTAAGGCTGATGAAGAGGGGCTGCACAGTCATTTCTGATCTTTCTAGAGAAATTCACCATCTCCAGGTGTCTCTAGATAACTTCATTCTGCAGTCAAAGTACAGCATTCAAGTCATTTGGCTTTTTTTTTTTTTGGATTCGACGTTACAGTGTGAATGATTGGAATGTATGATTTCATTTTTCTACTTAAAATAATGGAATATGCTTTTGTCTTATTTTTAGGATGGCCCAGATACTGAAAGAAGGAACAGGACAAAGCAGGAAAGTGCTTGGCTCTTCAGGCTGTGGTATAGCTTTGACCATAAGTATCCTTTCAAAAAGACAGCATAGCTTCAAGACATGAAACGTTCGGGTTTCTTTCCTTGCCGTGTACCCATCTGCAGCGTTAAGCACCTGAGACAGTCAAATGTGATAAAGATCAAGTATTGTCTGACAGGTTTAAGGCACAGAACCGAAACTTGAACTTATGGACTTGAAAGACAGACCTTTCCTTTCTTTAAGGTGCATGGTACATCACATTTGCCAGAGAACAAGAGACAGTCAGTTCTGTGCACTGAAGTTCTTTACTAAACAGAGAGACAGCAGCCAGTTAACTATTTTAGATTCTCTGATCTGTTCTACTGATCTGTTCTGATTGTTGCTGATGCTCAGAACATCTGGTTTCCCAGTTCATTGTGCATGTCTAATCCCCAACTCCTTGTTCTGAGCCGTCTGCTTTTGTGACGAAGCTGTCTTTGGAAGATCCCATCAAAGATATGGGAAGTTTTGGAACTAAAAGTATACCTGTGATCCAGCTCAATCCCTTCAGTATATCCAGAACTTCTTAGGAGTGTCAAGGCTGAGTGTGCTCCTTGTGTGTATATAGTGCTGTATAACCTTTCTGAAACTATTGTTGTGCTATTTAGATAGCCTTGCTTAAGCTTCTGTGTAATTTTTGTATAGCTCTCCTGTCTGTCATGTTTGTTTGCTTTTCTTCCTGCTTAGTTTATCTTTAATCAAGGTATTGCACTTGTGCCCCTCCTCAGCAGCTTGCATTCACTTAACAGAAAAGGAGGAATCTAATCTTGTGACCAGGGCAAGTCACTTATATTGTGGAAATTGACAGAAGTTTCGGTACTTGACTCCCAGTTATTTCTGGGTCAATTACAGGTTCCTAAGTATCTGCGACAGGGCCTTAATCTCGTTGCAGCTTGCATCTGAGAAGTGAGCATGTGGCCTGGGATCTTACGCATTGGTGGCTGAGATGTTGCTGGCCTGGCTGGAGTGCGATAGTTTCTTTCCATGACTTGTATATCAAGATTTCCTGCCCATGCAGCCAAGGCGTGATGTTGAAAGCATTCAAATCCTGTTTTGGTAGTGAGTCAAGAGATGGCCAGGCAGTTAGCAAGAAGAATAGACTTAAAAGTATGTCAGTTTAGATGTGGCCATAGTACCGTTTTTGTTTTTTACGTGCAAAATAAAATAATAGCATTTCCCTGTTTAGGATAAAATCAATTTTTGACTGACGTTTTCAGGTGCAGTAGTAGTGGGCCAATCAAGCCCAGCAGGCTTGCTAGCTGTGCTAGTTTGTGTAAATATACATAGATGCTGGTAATTTCAAGTGAACCCTCTGAGTTTAGGACCTAGTATCAAAGTGTGTCAAGGTCAGTTGTTCAAGCACCATATTTTTATTATTTTAAAAGAAGATTTGTCTAATAAGAGCAGGGAAGTACTGGGCTATGTCTGACTGCCCTTTTTAACAAGGCAGCTGAGGTATCCCCTTCCCCTGCCTTTACAAAGGGGATGTGCCTTGCGTAAAGAGGAGTCGCTGGCATAGCTGACTCTCCTCTCAGCTGGCATTAGCACAACTGCAGTCCCCAGCAGGTGCAGTGATGGGGGAAAGTGCTAAGGGAAAATTACAGCGTAATTCACTGCATCACAGAAACTTTATTTTAAAGGAAACTGTCTGATAGTGCACTTAGTTCTTCAGTGGTGACTCAAAAGGTTTAAGGAAGCTTCCTGTGAAGTTTGTGCCAAAGAAGCCTTGAAATCCAGAGGCAGAGCTATCTTACTGTATCTTACAGGGTTAAAACTCTGCTCCTCCTGTTGCAAGGAGGCATTCAGATAAATGCTTGTTGAATGGGTTTAAATTGTACGTAAGGGCTGATCTTTAGAATTGTCACTTCTATACCCACATCAAAATCTCAAATATTTTTGGCTAACGTATTCACGTGGTTCATGACTAGAAAGACAAATTGTTCCAAACTTCACCCTCCACAAGAGGATTTAACTTGAAAAAAATGCGAGTAAGATGCCTTTGTCAGTGTGCTCTCATGCTGGCTATTGTCTACAGCGTATGCAGATGAGTGACTGGAAACATCACGCCTGTGGAACATAAAGTTTATTTAATGTCATAGGCTGTTGCCTGGTTCACCCACCAGTGTTAAACATGAAGGAAACAGCAACTTTGCTGAAGTACCAAACGTCAAAAATAGAAGTAGTACAAAAGGAGTTTGTTTCATTATGACTGACTCGCTGCTGGCCTCTCTGTCCCCGGGCAACGTGTAGGCTGGTGGGTTAGTATAAGGGGGAGAGTTTTTCTTTCCAGGACTGGATGGAGCCACACCTTTAACAGGGGAGGAAGGGAGGAAACATAACTCTGCAGTGGCGTAATCATGCCATTATGTGCTCAAGGAAATGCACTGTGCCAGGGTCTGCTAAAGGGGAGGGCTACATCTGCTAGCCATATCGCCCTCCCCCCCCCCCCCAACTTCCTCTTTCCCCCCCACACCCTAACCTATTGAGTTAGGATGAGGGGAGTGGTGTTACATTTCGTAAGTGGACTTGATTCTCTCTGTGTCTACAGGTCTAAGAAAGTAACTACGTGTTTCCATTTGAAGTAATCAGACTGATTTAAAAAAAAAAAAAAATCAAGACTACAAAACCCTGTGGTCCTGATTAGAGTCAACGTTTGGAAGTCAGCACTGGAGAGTGCTGTTCCCAGTGCTGTTCATGTGGCCAGTCAAGATCAGTACACTGCTCTGTGGCAGGGACACCTTTTTTTCACTCGTGAGCATTTCCTAGGGCCTGTCATCAGCCTAGAGTATTAGCTTGGACAAACATGGATTTTCCTGGGGGCAGACCTATGGAAAGGGATATAAAGACTCTTACCCCCATGTATTCTAGTTAGCATTACCTGGAAGACGCTTTCATTACGTGTTGTGTAACGTGGTTCAGCCGTACAGTTTTCCCTTCCCCTTTTTTTGGCTCTGTAAGGTATGTGCATCTGCACTGCAGAGATGTCACCTAGCCTTTCCAGTGTAACTGCAGTAACTTTTTAGGTGCTTTGATGCCTGAAGGCTTAACTGCGTTTCTTACTGTGTAAAACGAACCATTCTAAATCTTGCTTAAATTTTGAAGAACATCTGTCCTTCTTTGAAAGCACTTATGTTAAAGTGTCCTTAGGCTGCGTCCAGGCTGCAGGGATCTATGGCTGCATCAGTGTAACTCTGACGCAGCTAACAGCGGACCAGTTCAGATTGCTATACTGCTCTGAGGACTTTGGATGGATAGTATTTCTTTATTTCACTGTGTTGAGCCACATGAGCATGCCATCTTGTTACCTCTAACTTGGGTTCTCCATACCATGCTCCCATCTACAGAACAGAAATACCCTAGGATTTATTAATGTTAAGGAATGTCTACCCCTGCATGCTCCTGTTGGCTCCAGGGAGCGCAAAAGCTGGAAATGTTGCAACTGCGTGAACCTGTAAGAAGGGAGGTGGCTAGTTTCCCTTGCAGAAAACATGTGAATAAAGAAGCTGCCCTTAGCAGGATCAAGGGAAAAGTGCCTGCGGAAAGGGGAGATGCTTCCTATTTGTTTACAAATGCAGACTTTTTTTCAAATGTATTTGATTTATATACAATTATTGAACAGTACATAGGTCAAAGGCAGAGTCATATTTATGCTTAATTGTCTTTTTGTTTTAAACAGTGGTTTACGAGCACTGATCTATTTTCCTTAACTACTAACAGTTATTTAAAGCCGATTCTCACTCACAGTGGCCCGCCATTAACCACAACTCTACCGAGCTGGTGTGGTCTGATAGCCCGCTGTCTGACGAGTCCCCAGGTTTATGATGTAAGTAGAATAACTAAATACTTGTGGGTTTTTGCCTTTTTTGTTTTTGTTGTTTTTTTAAACCTTCAACAAAACAAGAGTTTTTTGGGGAGGGGGTGTGGGAAGTGTTTTGTTTTTGAAAAAGTGGTTCAATTTACATATTTTAAGTGCTGATTTGTCCTAAGGCAGAAAAGATTTAAGATACTCTTCCCTGAGGCAACAGCTTCTGCTCGTAAAAATCAAAGATGTTCTATTAATTTTCAAATAGTACACAAAAACAGCATTTAAGGATATTGGGAAATTGCAGGCCTAATCACTAATCTAGTTCTTAATGAATCACTTCAAAGTATTCTGTCCCCTTTTAGCACATTTGGACAAGATTTTTCTGTTACTGGTGAGGTTGTATTTAGGTCTTCTTTGGAGAGGACACTGACATGCTTTTACCTATGCCAGAAGGAAATCTAGTAGAACTTCCCTTGATTGTTCCCACAGCAAAATTTAAGATTGCGGTTCAGAAACTGTTAATCAGTTACCTGTCTCAGTCTAGCAGGTCAATATGGTACCTTTACAACCATGGCTTCCAATGTGTAATGCTTCTTTCTCCTGTTATTCTGTCAACACTCTGACACCTGTCATTCCTGTCTGTAAGGTACTTGTAAATCTACAACTTTTTATGAACCACTTGTAAATAGAACTGTACTACTGTATGAGATCACTCAAACTTGCAGATTCTCCAGAATGGTAACATCTTTGTTATGTTCGAGTAGTCTTGGACCAGACTTCTATTAATCTTTCCCCAGAAAGTTACAAATTTCACCTGCAACTTTGAAGTACTTCCCTACATTTCTTTCTGAAATCATTAGAATGTTACTTTTACCTGAAAGTAAAATTTCAAAAATAAATTTGAGAACTGTCACTGCATATTTAGAGCTATTAATAATGCAAGAAACTGGCATTGTTCCCATCTTTGCAGTACCGCTGGAGATCTTAAAACAGATCTAGGCTGAAGGCATCCATCAGACCAATTAGCCTACTTGTGTGTTGCCCATGTGGTTATCTCTGTATGGTCTTGGAAGATAATTATCCAGTAACTGAGGATGTAACCAGAAAGAACATGCAAGCCATGGCTTTTATTTACTATCACAGTTGGGCTTTTTTTTCTCTGTACTCGTCATTCTTAGCTAGTACCATATGCGAAAATGTATTGTTTAAATGGATCGGTTCCGTGACTTATTCTCCCCACCACCACCACCTTTGAAGTGTTAACCTCATCACTGCATAATTAGTTGCTGATAGTAAAAATGCTTGTGAGGCTGCATCTCTTATCTTTTTTAAGGTATGTGTAATGTAGAACATTCACGCTGTATTCTCTCCTCTTGTTCCTACTTTGCAGCGTTGCTTCATTAGAATTAAGAGAGAATATTATTTTGAGGGTTTTTTTTTCTGGGTGGGTTTTTATTTTTTTGTTGTAGTGGGTTTTTTTGAAGTTTCTTTCCAAGTTTTTTCCAACTCTGCAATTGCTTTGCCTTTCTTTGCATGGCTGGCCTAGCTACAGCATTGTGAAGGTACCATTTTATTACAAATTAAAAAGCTGTGGAATATTTTTGCCTTCCTATCCAGTGCAGGTGAAGCAACTAAAAGAGCCGTATCTTTTTAGGGAAAG